TCCCTCTCCCTGCGTTTGCAAACAGAGCTGATGGACATTTCCCTGCCTTTGAACATCGAACCTGAACTTTGTGAGGGCACAGGGATTGCCAGGAGGGAGCAGAGCCAAGGAGAGCTCAGGAATTCTGGGCTGTGCCAGGAGAAGGGGAAGGGTAATTTCGGCACAGTTATCAAAGGGGGGGTCTCCGAGCTGGCCAAACCTGACTTTGTTAATTAAACTTCGGGTTTAGCTGCACACAGGAACTGGATTGGGAGCTTGCAGAGATTAAAGTCCAGGTGCTGCTCCACTTTCCACCGCCCCAGGCTGCTCCAAGCCCCATCCAGCCTGGCCTTGGACACTTCCAGGGATCCAGGAGCAGCCCCAGCTTCTCTGGGAATTCCATCCCAGCCCCTCCCCGCCCTCACAGGGAAGAATTCCTTCCCAATATCCCACCTAATCTAAATCTCTGTGCACGTGAAGCCATTCCCTGTGTCCTGTCCCTCCATCCCTTGTCCCCAGTGCCTCTCCTGCTCTCCTGGAGCCCCTTCCAGCCTCATCCTTTGGATTCCCACAGAGTCACAGACCCACTTAGGCTGGAAAAACCTCTGAGATCGTCGAATCCGACCTAAATTTCTGTACAAACAGAGGATCCCTTTTCTGTAAGATTGTAAGATTTGGGGAATCTGTGCCAGCTCCTCCTCACCCTCCCAGCCAGGAATCCCTTCCCAATCTCCCATCTATCCCTGCCCTCTGGAAGTTTAAACCCATTTATCCCTGTATTTGTATCCTGTAGGAATTTTTGTCTTAATTTTTTGGTCTAATTTTTGTCATTTTTGGTAAATGGCAGGAATCCTGAAAATGCAGGAATCAATGGGATGGTAAATCCCAAGAAACCTGGAAATTCAGGAATAAAAGGGATGGGAAATCCCAGGAATCAATGGGAAATTCAGGAATCAATGGGATGGTAAATAGCAGGAATTGTGGAAGTGCAGGAATCAATGGGATGGTAAATAGCAGGAATTGTGGAAATTCAGGAATAAAAGGGATGGGAAATCCCAGGAATCCTGGAAATTCAGGAATAAAAGGAATGGTAAATCCCAGGACTCCTGGAAGTGCAGGAATCACTGGGATGGTAAATCCCAGGAATTGTGGAAATGCAGGAATCAATAGGATGGTAAATCCCAAGAAACCTGGAAATTCAGGAATAAAAGGAATGGTAAATCCCAGGAATTGTGGAAATGCAAGAATCAATAGGATGGTAAATCCCAGGACTCCTGGAAGTGCAGGAATCCCTGGGATGGTAAATCCCAGGAATTAATGGGAAATTCAGGAATCCCTGGGATGGTAAATCCCAGGAATCAATGGGAAATTCAGGAATCCCTGGGATGGGAAATGGCAGGAATCAATGGGAAATTCAGGAATCCTGGGATGGGAAATGGCAGGAATGTGTCTGCAGAGGGTGGCAGGGACACAGTGGGTTGGGAAGGCTGGGCCCTGCTGGCTCAGGGGTCACAGCTGCCCTGGGGGCTGCCAGCAGCTCTGCCCCTGCTCCACGATTCCTGCAAGGACTCCTCCACTTCCATGGAATCTCCCCCTGCTCATCTGAATTCACAGCTCTGTACCACACTCAGGATTTAGATTTTTTTTTTTTTTTTTTTTTTTTTTTTTTTTTGTGTGTGTGCTGCTGGTTAAAGGTGATGACCAAAACATTTTGGTTTTTTTTTTTAAATTCAAATTTAATCATTCAGCCGCATCCTCATGGAGAATTTGAGGTTTGCCTTTCCCTGAGTTATCCCAGGAGCTCCTTGGCACATCCAGGAACCTTTTATTGCATTTTTGGCCCCATTCCCTGCAGTGATGGAGCCAATCCTTGTGGTTTTTGTGGCAGGGGAGCCCTTTGTGGGGTGTGCTGTGACATTCCTGGATTAAACCCTCAGATATCCTCACCCTGATGTATTTCCCTGCAGATTTTTAGTTCACCTCCTTTATTTTTTTTTTTTTTTAAGGGCCTGCTGGAGATTCCAGGCAGGAATTTTTTATCCTGGAATAATGGATGAAATTATTTAAGTTTGTGCCTCTTGTTGTTACAGAAGAGCTGCCTTTGATCCCAAAAAAACAGAAAATTGACTTTTTTTTTTAGACTCTTATTTACCTTGGGCTCAAATGTGGCAGCTGGAAAAGTGGGGATCATCTTCAGGGAACCAGACCTCGGGCTTGTGTCCTGCAGTTTGGGATGGGAAAGGGGAACAAGGACCCTCAAATCCCAGGAGCTGGGTTTGGATGTGGAGTCAGGAATTTCCACAGTGCCTGATGTGATCATGAATTCATGCTGGGAAGGTGCCAGCCCATGGGAATATTGGGATTTTTTTTTTTTTTTAGCCAAATATTTGACTTTTAGCCAAAATTTGCTGTCCTAAAAGTATCTTGGGAAGAATTCCAGGCTGGGAAATTTTCTTCATCCCTGTCCTGAGGTTGCCATGGATGTGTCAGAGTTCCAGGTGGCAGTGGGCAGTAATTAACTCATCATTTAATATTCCACATTTTGAATGGTTTTATGGCTTTGGAGAACCCCAAAACCATTTAAAAAAAAAAAAAAAAATTAAAAACCACCCCGAGCTTTTGGATCCCTGACTTTTGTCATTTTAACCCATTAAGAAAACTTGCTGCAGGATTTGCTTTACCTGCTGAAAAAATTTATTATTGAAGCTATTGGGAGCTTTGTCTTGTTTCATTCCCAGATTCCTTGGGATAAATCACAGCACCAGGGATGTGTGGCTGGGACAGCAGCTGCTTTTGATCAATTCCAAAATGTCCCTCACGAAGAAACAAAATACAAATTTCACCCAGCAATTCCACTCTGGCCTTTTTCATCCCCTTCCCTCCAAGCTGGAATTTGTTTTTATTCCTTGGGATTTAACAGAAATTTAATATTTTTATCTCTTTCTGAGCCATCCCTGCCAGCCCCCAGCATTCCTCTGGCTGGATTTGGGGTTCCAAGCACGGCTGATGTTTTGCCAAATTGAAGTTATTCCGATTTTTGGGGATGGTTTAAACTTTTGAAGTTGGCCCAAAAATGTGCTTTATGTTGGGTTGTCTGGCAGGAGAGGCCTCTCCTTTCCCATTTTATTTTATTTTATTTTATTTTATTTTATTTTATTTTTTTTTTGGTTTAAATCAGCCTTTGGAGAGCCCAAAAAACATCAGGAGTTGCTGCTCTCCCCAAATTCTGGGTCAGGACTGCAGTGGGATCTGCTCACATTCCCTAGGGATCCAAGGTTTTATGGAAAGGAAGGAATTCTGAGGAACTTTGTGGTTCCCAGCTCTGCTCTGCAGTCAGGAGATTCCCACTTGTCCAGTGGCAGGAATTCCATCAGCATTTTGTGGAATTTTGGGAAATTTTGGGGGGATTTTTTGGGGGGAATTTGGGGTATATTTGGGGATTTTTTTTTTGTGTGTGTGAATTTTTGGGGATTTGGGGCTTCCAGCTCTAGGGAATTCAGGAATTTCGTGGAATTTGGGGTATTTCTGGCAATTCTGAGGCAGTTTTGGGGGAGATTTTGAGGATTTTTAGGGGAATTTTCGGGGATTTGGGGGCATCCAGGGTATAATAAACCCTTCCACGTGGCAGAGCTGTGGCAACCCACGATGGGATTTTTAGGGAAGTTGGTGCACAAAACCTCGGCTTGGTGGGGTTAAATCCAAATTTGTGCTGCTGGGGGATGGAAAACCTGGCACAGGTGAGAGGAGGGCAGGGCTTGGAGGGGTTTGGGGTGGCTGAAAACCCCCAGGAATGCTGAGGTGCCACTGGAAAAGTGGGAATGTGGATGTGGGATGAGGATGAGGAGCTGGAGGATGCAGGAGTTCCCTGGTGTGCCCAGGAGGGAGGGGAAAGTTGGGAAGGTTTTGGTGCTGCCAGAGCCTTCAGCAGCTTCTCCTGGATGGGAGCAGATCCCAAAATTCCTGAGAGTTACAGGAATAAAGTAGGAATTTATTTAAAAAAGCCTTCAAAGGACTCACCTTGGGCAGGGCAGGAGTGTGGTCGAGGCTCCACCCAAGATGGATTCTTGGTCACATTTCTACATTCATTTTTACATTTATAATTTTTGGTTCATTTCCACATTTGGGGTTAATTGTCCAATTCCAGCTCCAGGTTCTGCAGTTCCCATTTTCTTTGAAGGAATGCTGTTAGTTTGGAAGTTTCCACATTTTTTTAATGCTTCCAAAATAATTTATCTTTATTATCTGTGCATCTCTGGTCTCTTGGAGCAGGAGGAGGTGTGAAAGGATCCTTGGGGGTGAAAAATCCATTTAAAAAGTGCAGAAACCTGCAGGGAAATTGTTCTTATCCTTGTTTTGGGTTCCTGAGGGAATGCATTGGAATGAATGAATTGTGGAAGTTTCTGCAGTTTTAGATCCTTCAAAAATAATTTATCTTTCATATCTGTGCTTATGTGGTCACCTGGAGTGTGTGAAAGGATCCTTGGGGGGGGAAAAAAAATCCAGATTGTCTCCTCAATTCGCTGCTGTTTGCACTTTTGGGGGCTGGAAAAGAATTTTGTGGGAGTGACTGTGAGGAGAACTTGGTGACACTTGATGTGAAATTCAGAATCACTGATGCAAAATGTGGAAAAAAAAATGGAAATTAAAATTTAAAGCATCAGGGCTGCTCCTGCAGAGCCATCCCGAGCTCCCCAGAGCCCTGGAGCATCCCAAACCCTCCCTGTGGCACAAGGAAAAAGTCTCTGCTGGTTTTTCTCCAGCTGAACCAGGGATTTGTGGAAAACTGGCTGCTCCTCAATTCCTTTGGAGGCTTCACTTTGCTCCTCTCCTCGGGAAGAGCTCCTGGGATGCAGAATTTTATTTGTGAGAGGCAGAATCTGCTCTGGCATCTGCCAAAACATGAATTTATTTGATATTCTCCAACGTGCTGGATCCTGGAATTTTACACCCCATGGAATTCTTCCCCCCTCCACACCCCGGACGTTAAAGCTGTGGACACAAATTTGGCTTTAGGGTTTAATTCCAGCCTCGGGGAATGTGCTTTGTTCCTTTAAATGAAAATGGGGCCATTTCTGTGACCCTCCCGTGGGAGGCTTGGGGTGGGTGGAAGAATTATTCCATTATTCCCTTTTATTCCCACGTGGCTGCTCCGTGTCCTTGGCAGGGACAGGAGGGGGAGGGAGCACCTTGGCTTCTCCCCAAGGGCTTCACCCCAAAATTAGGGAGGTGTCGTCACATTTTTTGGGGGAGTTTGGCTCTGCTGGGAAGGTCCCCAAGTCGCCATGGGCAGCTCTGACCACACCACGGGGGGGTTTGGTGAATTATTTAATGTGGAAATCTGTGTTGGGATGTAGAAAGAACAGCTTTTCCAGTTAAAAAAAAAAAAACAAAAAACCAAAAACTGGTGGGTTTGGTGAATTATTTAGTGTGGAGATCTGTGTTGGGATGTAGAAACAACAGCTTTTCCTTTTCCACTTAAATTTGATGAATTATTTAATGTGGAGATCTGTGTTGGGATGTAGAAACAACAGCTTTTCCTTTTCCAGTTTAAAAAAAAACCAAAAAAACCAAAAAAACTGGTGGGTTTGGTGAATTATTTTCATTGGAAATCTGTGTTGGGATGTAGAAACAACAGCTTTTCCTTTTCCAGTTAAAAAAAACAAACTGGTGGGTTTTTTTCCTTTTCCAGTTAAATTTGGTGAATTATTTAATGTGGAGATCTGTGTTGGGATGTAGAAACAACAGCTTTTCCCTTTCCAGTTTAAAAAAAAACCACCCCAAACTGGTGGGTTTGGTGAATTATTTTCATTGGAAATCTCTGTTGGGGTGTAGAAACAACAGTTTTTCCCTTTCCAGTTAAATTTGGTGAAATATTTAATGTGGAAATCTGTGTTGGGATGTAGAAACAACAGCTTTTCCCTTTCCAATTAAAAAAGAAAATCCTGGTGGGTTTGGTGAATTATTTTAATTTGAAATCTGTATTGGGCTGTAGAAACAACAGCTTTTCCTTTTCCAGTTAAAAAAGCAACAACCCACAGCGTTGTTTTATGTTGTTTATTCCTGTGGTTTTTGTTCAGGAACTCTGGGCATCTCCTGCCCAAACTCATCGACTGAGGCAGCAAATCTTTTGTAATAAAATAGGATTTTTTTTTTTTTCTGCTTTGATATCTGAATTAATTCCATTTTTAGCACTTCTCCATTTCCCACTTGCATTTCCGTTGCCTGGAGGGTTTGTTTGGATATTCCAGTGGAAAAGGGCTTGGAAGGGACCTTAAAGCTCATCCCATTCCAAAGCCTTTTCCATGATTTGTGTGATGTCCCTGTGGCTGGCACAGGGATGATCCCATTAGGGAATCCCAAAAGGCAGGACAAGCCTTTCCACGTGGCAGGAAAGCCATTGTAAAACCTTTGTAAAGCCATTGTAAAGCCATTGTAAAGCCATTGTAAAGCCATTAAAGGTGTCACGCTTCTTATCTGCTTTTTTTGTTTATTAAAAAAAAAAAAAAAAAAAAAAAAAAACAGGCTACAAATAAAGCTGTGTCACGAGATCCCCCTGGTAATTGAGGGGCCGAAATTAATTAGGCATGGTGAATGTTCTGCATGGCTCCCTCTGCCCTCGGAAGAAGGAGCCCTTTGTGCATCCCCAAGGCAGGAGCTGCACATGGAATACCTGAGGGCATCCCAGCCCTTTTCCCTTTTCCTCCCCCCCTTCCCTCTCCTGGCTTCTCCTCCTCCTCCTCCTCCTCCTCCTCTTTGGAATCCTTTGGAAAGGAGAATTTCCTGACAGCTCTTTTCAGCCTGGTTTCCTCTCCAGCTGCCCCCACAACACCCCTCTGGTTGGGTTTTTAATGTCAGGGATGACGGCCAGAGTTTGGCAGGATCAGCTGGAGCTGAGGTTGGGATCGTTGGGATGATTTGGATTGTTGGGGTTGTTGGAGTTGTTGAGGTTGTTGGGGTTGTTGGGATGATTTGGATTGTTGGGGTTGTTGG